CCGACTAGTCGATGAACAAGTTAGTTTTTTGTGGCGAGAGGTGCCGCTAGCACGCGCGTCGAGCCAGAAATTAATTGTGCCATTGCTTATCTCTTTTTAACAGATCGGAAGAAAGGATAAAGTCTTCGCCTGTCCCATCCTTCTTTGGATGCAGCACGGGTTCTATTTCCACTCAGAATCGTGGCGACTCATGCGTTGAATGCGATTTGGCTTATACAATGAAATGCGGGGCCTGTTGATGTGCGTTTCATTGTTCCTATCCTCCCATCGCAGTTGGGTATGGAAATTTGCTTTTCGAGGATAGAAAACGTGGTTGGTCTAGACGGAGGTCAAACCCCCCCCCCCGAATTTCAGCCCAGGAACCGCGCTAGTGGTGAGCCCGCCACTTGCCGGCGTCCACCACGTCGCGCTATATTAGCTGTGTATAGCAAAGAAATTCATCAAATGCGATTGTGAAGGTGCTATGCAACTCAACTCAGAAGAAAAAATAAGAGAAGGAGTCGAAGCTCCTCGAATAAGACCTCTCTGATTCCGAAACTGCCTTTAGGGACAAACTCTACACTCACCGCTGAGCATGGTCCTTACCATGTGCGAGGTGAACGAGTCTGAGCTGCAGTAGCGTGCCACTTCCTCGGTCAGGGCTTCACGAAGAACGACGCTGGAGGGTGTCAGCACTCTGATGCCGTCTCCGGACCCCCAATAGCTATCGTTATAGTTCAGCACTTGCACCGATAGCGAAATCCTGCAGCGAGACATGGCACTTAACGCGTTAAGAAACAATCAGAAGAGAGAAGGTGCAGACAAGCGGCGCCTTTCGTTTTGGTTAGGCGTGTGGCTGACTCCGCTGCAGTAGGAATAGGGTAGGAAGATAACACTAGGTATTTTCCTTCCAGACCCATCCCCGTAACCTCTAGGAGGGAAAATGACACGCTACTGCAGCTGACGGCCTCTCTCAATAACTGGTAAGGGCCAAATCGACGAGATGATGGACAGCTATCCCTATTTGATCAAATAGTTTAGCTCCTAGGACCAAATTTTAATTTGAATTTCGACTTTGGATTTCGTAAATTTTTTCCTGTTCTCCCTTACACCCCCCCCCCCCCTCTACAAGGTTACTAACGCGATATCTAATACTGGCCCCACCCCTTCCCTTCACTGATGGTGGGTCTAGCTCTCTCGAGACTGGTCTATAAATTAGTGTTTTGCTGGTTAATCACTGTTTTCAAACAACTAATATCAATATTTGAACATGTATATGCAATGGGTTATGTTCTCTTTTTCTCACGTATGCCTTATGCACACGTAATAAACTTACTTACTTACTTACTTCACCTTGGTTATCTGCAATTGAAACTGTTGTCAAACTGTATTTATAAACCGTCTCAGTCACTCGGGCTACCTACAGAATAAATACGATATAGCAGAGCGAAATCTCTGAACTGAGACTAGTAACTCGGTAGATTGCGGGTGAATGGAGCTCTACTTTGTCTCAACATTTACATTTGCGATTCGAAGGTTGATCGCTGTGGGTAGAAGAAAAAGTGCGAAACGTGATAGATTGCAAATCTGATAGTCACGTGCTCGCTCCAACCAGATAGGGATGACCTTCAGAAACTACCTATGCTCAGATGGGATATTTTCGAATAGGCGGTGCATGAATTACTAGCTTGCTAGTTCCCTTACATGCCAACTAATATAACCACAGAACAGCGTTAAGTACGGTGTACGGTCATAGTCAGCGTGTTAATCAGCGGGTCGCTCCGGGACACTGATTAAACAGGGAGGTTACAGCATCGTTTGCGAAACCATAGGGGGGAGCGAGGTACTTTGGCCGCCTGGGCGGGGGGGGAGCGGGGGTCAGATTCTCAAGGCGGCGCGGCAATGCTTTGACATTTCAGTTGATAGTAGGAGTGGAGCTATGGAAGCCAAGATGTTGAAAAAAGAAAATTACTATGAGTGTATTCTTTACAGCTTTAAGTGCTCCGTTTGACGGCCCTCTTTTCATGGGAATTTCCCAAAAAGGGGAACGTACTTGGCCGCAGGGGACGTAGAGAGAATCGCAAAAGCCAGCGTCGCCTCAGATTCAAACAGTGCAAAAGTGTCATTGCTAAGTTTGATGGAACGGACGGAAAGCTGCAGAAGACCCGGATGTAAGGAGGACTACAAAATAATAAAAATTGATTAGCAATATAGCAAGAATAGCAAGAATAATAAATAAGTATCAATTATAGAATGAACCGTAAGAACGTAGATAACTAAATACTACGTCTCAAACCAGATTCGTGCGTATTGTCCTTTCCAAACCCTAAAAAACTCTGCTTGCATGGATAAAAGCACCTGAAATCAGAATTTACACCTTTCCACCACCTCTGCGTAGGAGCGTAATGCACGGCGCACACGGACCAAATCGATCAGTGATAGCCGAGCTCTCACTCATTTGAAGGGAAATATGTGTTTTGAAGGCACACTGAAGTTTCCGAAGGTGTATCCTCACAATGGCACAAGGGAGTCGAATTTTTGAGCAGCTCAGAGCGTAGCTTTTGAGTAACCCATCTAAAATATCTAGTGATCCAGCGGATGTTCAGAAAAACGTAAAGGAGAAAAGACAGGAAGTTCTGAAGACGGTTTCGGTTCTGATGAAATCGCGTTTGAAATGGGTAATCCTCTTGTGAAGCATAAAAACCCGCTCGCGATTTACCCCTAGCCTAGAACATTCAGACTGCAACTAGGTAGAAAACGCAAACAGTACGGAATATTTTTGATGCTGCTTCAAGCAAAAGCCGCGCCCCCCCCCAAAGTGATAATAACCCCCCCCCCCGAAGAGACCCCAGGACGTTGGCAGGCCCAACAACCGCGCTCCAATGACGTTTTCCAATGAAAGCGGTCGCAACGTTGCGATCGATAATAGCCAAGTATAGAACGATATACTGCCGCCTGGTTATCCATTTTTTCATTTGGCTCCGCATTTTTTTGTATTTTTCATGTTTCGCTTTGTTGTGTCGTGCATGTTTTCATGATTTCCCCGTCACCATTCATTGAATGCACATCTGGGGCCTGACACACTGACCTTGGGGCTATTTTTTTTCACCAATTCAGCTTATCAATGATCACCATTAGTCGCTGTTTCGATTGTGTTCCTTCTTACAAGTTGCATGTCATACATGGTTATCGAACGAGGAGTTTTATTTTGAATCCTAAGACAAAATTGTAGGTAATGCGAGGCTGTTGTTCAGCCTCTTATTGCCTGGATTTTAGGAGCAGGGTCCGCCTTTCAAAATTCCAGATTCCATTTCAGAAAGCCATTTCGTGTGAGCATCTGGTGTAGTTACAGCAGGAGGGGGAGGGGTCGTAACTGGACCCTCTCCGAGGGGGGGTGGGGAGGTTCGTACTCACACCGCCATTTCGCACATCTCCATGCTGTACCCTGTTAACACGCCAGTCACAACCTGCTAACCATAAGTGTAACCGCAATGGTACCTTCGCTTGCGTCTGTTTTTGAAGACAATACCTGCGATCAACTGTTACGGGGAGTAGGTGTTCACTCATGAATCACTACCCCATAAGTAACAACTCCCTAGAAAGTAAGAGACAAAAAAGACTTGGGACCACTCCGAACAGAGACCCCTCCCAGCAGTGGGGGCGGGTGCCTTGGTCAAGTTCATCATGAAGACAAGCACAATCAGCAGGATTCTACGTGCGACCAATTTTCAGTAACAGCACATGAAATCGCCCTACGACGCCCCAGGCAACGTTATGCACAATTTCGCTTGTAAGCGATGTGCTGCAAAGTGAAAGTAATCGTGTTCGCAACGGTTGCAATACTCAAGCGTCTCTAGCTTTTTTATCTCGCCGTTTCGTGTGCCAACAGTGTCTACACTCTTTGTGAATACAGACTACGATGCCAAATGCACGAAGGCATTTCACAGACCACATGATCGCAGGAATTGTCTTGAACCTACTATACATAATCCCCGCTGAGAGAAAGGATGCGTGTCCTTCTTTCTTTCAAGGCTTCCATTTCGCATCAGTCGAAATAATTCGCCACACATCAAACGTACACTTAAAACACCTTATGTGTTCCCAGTCTTCTCTGTCATAGAGTTCCCAGAGAACGTCGCAGCGACCGTTGAGGCTATATTCTCCGCAAGTGCCTTTAGACCACCCGCGTTCATTGATTATCTTGGGTGCCTTCAATGAACATGGTAGCCCTGCCTGCCCGGAATTTCTCGCCAAAATCGTGTTCTGCACTACGTTCAACTGGAGTATCCGCCACGCCCTCGCCATCTCCGCAATATGGACAAATACTCCCGAAGCTGCATCTGTGGCTCATAGGCAGCGCAGCGTTCAGACTCCGCAACGGCAGCGCTTTCGGTCGTGCAGTCGACGCGATCGGTGAGCACGCTTTCGAGTGCGTCGATCCCGTCGTGGGACCGAGTTGTTGGGGCAACTATGAGAGACAAACATATTCGTGATCTCTGCAAACGATACGTTTCGTGGATGAGAGTTCAGTCGCAGCCAGAACAGCCCTTCCCTCTACTTTTTACTGATCAGGACGGCGTCACTGACGGAGAAGCCACTTTGGCAGCGCTTCAGTTAAGGAGCCTCGTTGTACGCCATGCCGTTTGCAGGGATCAGGTCTGTAAATGCACCCATATCCTGGAGCTAGGCAAGGCATGGTTGCGTACTTGGTGGGAAGCGTGGTGGTGGCTGCTTTTCTGGTGGGACGTTTCCGCTATGAGGCAGTTGCTGTCATGTTTTCATTCAACACTGTCTCACTTCGAATGCTCCAACGAGAAACCCATCCTATCCCATGTTTGGACGAAGCACGCAGCCACGCCCTCCCCATCTCCGGGATATTGATTGTGTAGTGTGCAATTGGAAAAGTCGAAAAGAACATGTAATAGTGGCCAGCTTTATTAAAGGCCCGTGAAACTGCTAGATTTTATCGAAATCGATGCTTCTTAGTTTACAATAATCTTTGAACACAGAAAGGATGGTTGCTATCCTTGTTGCGGAGAACGGCATATGCTTACTCCTGAAAGTGAAAGAACTTGGATGCATTCACTTTTGAGTGAAAACAAACTTGTAGTGGAAATGATGTCCAACTCACGTCTCTCAGCGAATTTTAAATTCAAGACATTCGATGTAATGGAGATACTCGCGTATCTTTCTGTAGCGACGACGCTGAACTCAGGTGGTGGTTCTCCTGGGTCATCAACGGGTTCGTCCACATCAGAAGCAGCCGGCGATTCAGGAGGCGACACTGCCTGAGAGGACATTACCAAAGAGGGTGTAGAGGCTTCAGGCACAACCATGAGAGGGTCTTCTCCACACTCGTCGGCAGTTTGCCCCAGGGGAACAAACTGGAATCCTTGCGCTGTTCTTAGCTGTTGGTACTCTAGTGGGGCAGCGCCATTGAGTTCGCGAGTAATTCTTACATTGCTCGGTATCAAAGGAGCATTTGTGAAGTATCCAGGAATAGGAGGAGGGTCGTTACCGTCCTGGATGTAGTGGATGAGTTGACCACCGTAGAGAAGGTGTTGTATGACAACCCGAGGCTTTCTTTTTTGCCGATGGTGGAGATTCAGCGACTGCTCTTCTCTAGGTACTTTCTCTCCATCCTCTTCCGCATCATCAACTGCCTTCTGTTCTCCTTCGCGTGTTTGACTTTCTCTTTGAATATGCCTTTTTCTTTGTTGCATAAAGATTCGTAGCTCTTCCTCGTTTTTCATGTGATCGATCTGAAACGTTCACTGAAATCAAAAGTGGAGGGGATGCACGGAAAGGGCATGAGTCCACTCACCAGTATACTAGCCAAATACCGGTTGATAATCCGTTTTAGAGGGGGCAATCCATCGGAGCAGTACGTGGGAGGAGGCTTTATGGCAGTTTTCCTGAAGAATGACGTGTTCGGCAATAGATGGTACGGCGGTGCGAGCGGTAGATAACGTGGTCGTTTGCTTGGGTCGCTGTGATCCAGGTTCTGCAAATCCTCATCCAAATTTGGCGGAAGAAGTACAGGCCACTGAAAATTGTATATCCTACTGCAGAATACCATTGGCCAGTACGATCTCACATTCATTCAATGGTAGCGAACCTCTTGGTTGCATCCACGTCGATAGTTCTTGTGAATTTCCATGAGCTCCTTTGCAGTAGCGCTCGGCGGTCGTAGAAATGGTCGCTCAGGACTTGGAATCTCCGTGAAGATTCCAAACTGCTCACTTGTAGGTTGCTCTCGGGACTTCACGTGTGAATGCTGAACAGCTTCATACTGAATGCACCGGGTGAGACGGACCACATAGCAGAGCAGGGGTTATCACGATCACAGCACCATGTTGGGAGGTGGGAAAAACGTAATTGAGGTGGACTTCGCGGCGGTCAGACACTGTAGGCCACTTCATAGCCAAGCGAGATGACATACCACTTCTTTCCTAGCTTCATTCTTGAACCATTCGGCTGCGTTCATACTTTGCGGCAGCGTCCACTAGCGAGAAGCTGCGTCTTTAGGGCTAGGAAAGCATAGGTATCGATCTAGCGACCAGCAGCGTCTACCAGCGTCCACCAGCGACCAGCAGCGTCCGGAAGTGGAGAGTATGGGGCGATAGGAGGGTAGCAGACAGCTGGTATAGCATGGGGAGGTAGGAGGGTAGCAGACTTTTGGTAGAGTATGAGGAGACAAGAGAGTAGCAGGCAGCTGGTACAGTATGGGGAGATAGGATGGTACTAGCTGCCTGCTACCCTCCTGTTTACCACTCTCTACACTTCCGGGCGCTGCTTGTCGCTAGTGGACGCCGGTGGACGCTGATGCGTTGAGCAAGGAGCAATCTGATGATTGCAAAGTTCTTCATGTGAAATTACGTAGGATGAATCCTTATCGGCTCCACTTAGAGCTCGCCCACCGTTTCTTGGTGAGAGGGAGCGTTAAATGAGTTCAAGAACGAATGAGGAATGGATTTGTTATCCCGTTTTGATATGACTTGACACAGCAGCGTCGGATCGCCGCCCGGCCCATCTAGAAAGTTTGTCCTAAACTACAGTCTTGCCTTGCGTACTGGCACAATCTTATAGAGCATGAAGTTGATTGTCAGAAGTTGACTCGAGTGAATTTGCCTCACAGTGCCCCACTGTGAGATCGCTATCCCGCTTATTTTCCCTCTAAGGAAATCACTTCATACCTCTGAAGAAGTGGTTCCATAGGAATCTTCACTTTCGGATGACTCTTCGCTGGCTTTTTCATCAACCAATGACTGTCTCCGACTAGGTCTTCTCACAGGATTTTGACTTCTTTTTGAAGGCCTTGACGAACGTTCATAACTGTTCCGCTCTGTTTCTTCTTCCGATGAATAGGGCAGGTCAACGATAACTGGAGAGCCGATTTCGAATCCACTACTTGCTGGTGAAACAGTTCCTTCATTAGTTAATGAATCGATATCGTCCTCCTCTCCTGATCCAGTTGAATGCTCTCCGTGTGACTCTGACGCCCATATGGATGACCCTGACAAATCACTTTCGGTTTCTTCAGTATCTTCCGCAGATTCCTGCGCAGTGTTACCCATCAGAGTGTAAAGCTTTGAGCTTTTCACGAGTATGGGTCTCGTTCCGATCCCTGAAATAAAAGATTGCGAGCCTGTCAAATCTCTCCGGGATCTGTTGAGCTGTAGCTTTCAAGGTAGTAAGGGAGAACGAACTCACCTGCTCTCTGCGAGTCGAAACAGACCACGAGGTTAAGAAAGAGACGAGTAACGAATGAACGTCACCCAAACATCTCGTGAAGGCTACGAATGTTTATCATAAACGATTGAGTTTGAATGAAGTAAACAATTCCTATTCTATGGGAAAGAAGTGCAGTCAGGCGTGCTCTGCCACTGTGGAACCAAGGACTAGCGTCTCGCACGGTTCAAATCCCGGGTCGTCTATCGTCCAGGCCAACCAAGACTTGTTTCCTCTGGAGGGCGCTGATTTCGTACCAAATTCACGGGAGTATAAGAACACTGACTCGTA